AATGGGTTGACATTATTTATACAATTATTACAATAATGCAGCAGTCTGCATAACAGTAAATCTTCTATATTTTTGTGATTAAAAATTCCAAATGAAAAGCAAGAGTAATATAAGAGGGGCCTGTAGCCGTGACTAATGAAGAGAGAAAATGTTATTTTAGTGCCAGGAATGTCTGCATTGTTTATCCTGGACCCTATTTTGAAATTGGCATCTGTTGAAATTTGTGTGAAATCGGCCAAATTGCCAATTTCTGACCACTTTATTGGGTAGTTGAAATAAGTGAATGGGCAGTTTCTTGTACTCAGTTGATAGACTAGAAGTAAATAAGTTTATTCAGGTATACACCAATACAGTTACATAGATTATCATACATAGCAGCGTATGTATAGAGAACCTAGGATAACCCAGAAAAGTCAGACAGTGACTTATTTCCAGTACCTGGCTTGGGCTTGCCATATATGATTTTTGGTAAATATTTTTTTTTCTCGGTTGTTTGTTGGGCTATCTCATTGAAACTTGGGCAATGTATGATGGAAAGATGCTTCTTAACGTATAACAAAAATAAAAAAGACGGACGATAAATAAGGGAGTTCACTTCTCAGCCATTAGCCGCCTCTTTGCAGTATACAGTGGACCCCCGCTTAACGATCACTTCCCAATGCGGCCAATTATGTAAGTGTATTTATGTAAGTGCGTTTGTATGTGTATGTTTGGGGGTCTGAAATGGACTAATCTACTTCACAATATTCCTTATGGGAACAAATTCGGTCAGTACTGGCAACTGAACATACTTCTGGAATGAAAAAATATCGTTAACCGGGGGTCCACTGTATTTTCGTATGGTTTTTATGGTTGTATTCTCATTTTTTGGACTCGTTTGATAGAATGGAAGATATATTACAGAAATACATGATTTTAATTGCTTTCATGATGAAAATTACCTTGAAATTGAGCTCAAAGTAGCGGAAATGTTCGATTTTTGCCAATGTTCAATGAACTTTGTGTAAGTCAAGTTGGTTAATTTTATTAAGTGTATTCTAACCTAACCACTCTGTAATCCGGCAAACTCAGTAATCCGGCACACTACAGGTCCCAATGATGCCGGATTTGTGATGGAGGACCTGTATACCATTTTTTAGGAGTGAAGAAGAACAGGATGTGAGTGTGGGGGAGGTGCGTGAGGCATTACGTAGAAAGGGGGTAAAGCAGCTGGAACTGACGGGATCATGACAGAAATGTTAAAAGCAGGAGGGGATATAGTGTTGGGGTGGTTGGTATTTTTGTTTAATAAATGTATGAAAGAAGGGAAGGTACCTAGGGATTGGCAGAGAGCATGTATAGTCCCTTTATATAAAGGGAAGGGAGACAAAAGAGATTGTAAAAATTATAGAGGAACAAGTTTACTGAGTATACCAGGAAAAGTGTACGGTAGTTATAACTGAAAGAATTAAAGGTAAGACAGAATGTAGGATTGTGGATGAGCAAGGAGGTTTTAGAGAGGATAGGGGATGTGTAGATCAAATGTTTACATTGAAGCATATATGTGAACAGTATTTAGATAAAGGTAGGGAAGTTTTTATTTCATTTATAGATTTAGATAAGGCATATGATCGAGTGGATAGGGGAGCAATGTGGCAGATGTTGCAAGTATATGGAATAGGTGGTAAGTTACTAAATGCTGTAAAGAGTTTTTATGAGGATAGTGAGGCTCAGGTTAGGGTGTGTAGAAGACTACTTCCCAGTAAAAGCAGGTCTTAGACAGGGATGTGTAATGTCACCATGGTTGTTTAATATATTTATAGATGGGGTTGTAAAAGAAGTAAATGCTAAGGTATTCCGGGAGAGGGGTGGGATTAAATTATGGGGAATCAAATACAAAATGGGAATTGACACAGTTGCTTTTTGCTGATGATACTGTGCTCATGGGAGATTCTAAAGAAAAATTGCAAAGGTTAGTGGATGAGTTTGGGAGTGTGTGTAAAGGTAGAAAGTTGAAAGTGAACATAAAAAAGAGTAAGGTGATGAGGGTATCAAATAATTTAGATAAAGAAAAATTGGATATCAAATTGGGGAGGAGTAGTATGGAAGAAGTGAATGTTTTCAGAGACTTGGGAGTTGACGTGTCGGCAGATGGATTTATGAAGGATGAGGTTAATCATAGAATTGATGAGGGAAAAAAGGCGAGTGGTGCGTTGAGGTATATGTGGAGACAAAAAACTTTATCTATGGAGGCAAAGAAGGGAATGTATGAAAGTATAGTAGTACCAACACTCTTATATGGGCATGAAGCTTGGGTTGTGAATGCAGCAGCGAGGAGGCAGTGGAGATGTCCTGTCTAAGGGCAATGTGTGGTGTAAATATTATGCAGAAAATTCGGAGTGTGGAAATTAGGAGAAGGTGTGGAGTTAATAAAAGTATTAGTCAGAGGGCTGAAGAGGGGTTGAGGTGGTTTGGTCATTTAGAGAGAATGGATCAAAGTAGAATCACATGGAGAGTGTATAAATCTGTAGGGGAAGGAAGGCGGTGTAGGGGTCGTCCTCGAAAAGGTTGGAAGGAAGGGGTAAGGGAGGTTTTGTGGGCGAGGAGCTTGGACTTCCAGCAGGCGTGCATGAGCGTGTTCGATAGGAGTGAATGGAGATGAATGGTATTTGGGACCTGACCATCTGTTGGAGTGTGAGCAGGGTAATATTTAGTGAAGGGATTCAGGGAAACCGGTTATTTTTATATAGCCAGACTTGAGTCCTGGAAATGGGAAGTACAATGCCTGCACTCTAAAGGAAGGGTTCGGGATATTACCAGTTTGGAGGGATATGTTGTGTATCTTTATACATATATGCTTTTAAGCTGTTATGTTCTGAGCACCTCTGCAAAAACAGTGATTATGTGTGAGTGAGGTGAAAGTGTTGAATGATTATGAAAGTATTCTCTTTTTGGGGATTTTCTTTCTTTTTTGGGTCACCCTGCCTCGGTGGGAGATGGCCGACTTGTTAAAAAAAAAAAAAAAAAGATTTGCAAGAGCTAGAAACTGTGGCTTATAATAGTTTTTAGAGCCCAGATAATTTCTGTCTTAAGAACTTCATGGGGTTTTGTATGGAAGGTGGAGGCAGGGACATGCCCTGGCATGTACATGCTGATTCTTTACTGGAGGTGGATGTGGAACTGCTAGATTATATTAAAACTATTACTTCCTGAACTCATAACTGAAGCACGAGAAAGTGGTGTGGATTTCATGACTTTTGAGTGGACTCTTGTTCTTGATTAATCTTCATAATCAATACAACCTTCTTATGCTTAACTACCTCAGCAAGGGACTTTCAGGCCCTTTTTTTGTTCCCACACGTTGCCAAGTTCAGTCTTTACCACTTGGAAAACATCTTGCTTTCAAGTCAGATCCATGTTTAACTAGCCAATGTGAAAAATTCAGATTCCTTCAGCTATACATATATTAAAGGCTGTCTATCTAATCATGGTTAAGGCCACAACTGCCAGCTCTACATTACAAATAAGTTCTACATGTACATCACTAACAATCTGCAGAATAAAAAGCAGAACCATTTTAGAAAAATAGCTTTAGTCTACGAAGATAATGCACTAGTTAACCTGATGCCCCAGGGAATAGGCAAGGACAGGGGATTCTGACTAAAAATCTTGAGAATCTTTGGTCGTATTACCGATTATACATTTTGTTGTCTATTTCACACAGTAAAATTGGTACCGCTTAGTCATTTTCCCGACAAAACTTGTTTTCTGACAAATTTCAAAATTTGCAAATTCCCTGACCTTGAAAATGAACCATTCTCCCTGACATGTTGCAACCATGATTTTATCAACATCTGTGGTCCTAGATTATTCACCATTTTACCAGAAGATAGAAACACTGTTGGGATAAGTGTAGAGATTTTCCAAAGAAACTCGACAACTGCCTTCTCCAAATGCCAGATCAACTAGGCTGTGACAAATATATGAGCACTCAGATGTTTCACTGGGTTTATGGAATCTTCCACAGAGGATGCAAAATCCTTTTGACTGCAACCCTAAACCACTTCAACTTTATTGTCACCTGTATGAGTAACCTAAAATCTATGTACCAAAATATACATACAATGATCAGGCAAGCACCTACCAAGCCTGGGTGCAGAGGTAGGAAAACTCTGAAAACCCATCAAAGATACATGAAGAACGTATTAATGAAGATAGGACACCACGAGCATAGCTCTGCACCTGCAACTACAAATGGGTAAATACATCTTAGCACATCATTACTTGGAAATCCAGTAATATATTTCAATGCTACAATTCAAAAGAAACATTCTAGATTCTTCATTTTCATGCAAAATGAACATTTGCATCCATGTGTAGCTGTCATCTTCATTTATTTCCAGCAAATGGTGAAGAAATGGAATAAATGAATTTGCAACCATACACTACATGTAGAGCTGGCAGGTTACATTAGCAAAAACAAAATGGGGTATCAGTAGAAGGAATATTCAGTGGGGTTTGCCTAAGGCCTTATTTTATGATTGTGAATGATAAAATGAAACTCAAGATGGGAGGAAAGGAGACTGAGGTCACATGGAAAAAGAATATAGCAATTTTGACTCAATTTCAGTGGAACAAATATGGTAATTTATGATAGAGTGCATTAAGGCTTCAATAAAAATCAAATATTTCCTGTGAAGGCAAAGACACAATGAAGTCAGTTTTTATTGGGACAACACCTTGACCTGTATAGAATTAACAAGTTTGTGATGCACTAAACCCTTACAGGCCATTCAGCTCACAAAGTAGTTAAGGTTCAATCCTTTGTCAAGTGAGCTGATGAGACATGCCACCTAACTGTACTCCTACATGTCTGATTTGCACAGTTTTATCGAGTCATCACTTGACAAAGCGTTACACAGCAAATGAATGTACCAATTAAAGCTGTCTGCAAATTTTCATTTCATTTATATATTTCCTAAGCAAGGATAATGAGACGAGGAGAATTAAAAGGAGAAACATGTTGTCAAACATGTTTATTAAGAAGTTACAAACTATGACATGTCTTGTCCTCTTAGTAAAGCAAAGATGACAAACAAAGACAAATATAGCAACAAGGAATGTAGCTGAACTGGGTTCAAAAATATTTTTCATGTCTAACAAATGAAAATCTGTAATCTGCCTCTAAATCATAAGCTTAAGATTATGACAAGTTGTACCACTGCCTAACCTATTATGTATAAAGAGCAATGGTATTAAACAACAGTAATTTGCAGAGGTGAGAGCACAAACACCAACAAAAGTATAACCTTCTTAATGCCACCATAGTATTTACATTATGAATCTTCCATATGGGTTGCAAAATCCCCTCAACTGTAACCCTAATCCAATGCAACTTTATTGTCACTTGTACAAGTAACCCAAAATCTATGTACCAAAATATACATACACGGGAGGGTGGCACTCCCATACCTTACAGTAACAATATTAAAATGTCGATTTATATGTAGATGTATGGAGTTGACAGACTGGCATTTATCTCAGCACTTCATTTAACACACTCATCAAATATGGGAAGGAATAGGACAGCAGCTGCTGGGCACTGTGAACCATGTCAAACTCTGGTACATTCATACATACATACATACATACATTCATTCAATATATTCAGTGCAGTGAAAAATACACAAATATGCAGAACAAAAGTAGGGTCTTGTGTCAGCTTGACAAAAAGTTAATATAGCAATATTCAAAAGTACACAATCAGTACTTCATTTTATTTCTAAGCCATGAACTCACTGTGAGCCATATGTAGACATTGCAAATATACACTCTATTGGCCAAACTGGTTATAAAATTAAATAAAGTGAGAGCTCTATTTGTTATTGCATTAAAAGAAAATAAGGTTTAGAAATTTGTATTTAGCAATGAATAAAAAATTAGGGCACATCCATTCCCAAGTTTACACCAAGACCCAAACCTTACAGCAGGAAAAACGGGCTTGAACAGTCATTAGCACATTATTTTTTTGACAGTTCATTGGATAGCCAGTCGAGACCCTCGTACAATCCCTGTCCTTGAACTGCACATGTAGCCTGAATGTACCACTGGAAATCATAAAGCAAGTTTTCTTTAGAAAGGAAGCTCAAAAGATGTCACTATATATGACATGTAACACTTAATACATAAATGAAAAGAAGTGCCTTTAACAGGTTTAGGCTACTAGCATAAAAAATGAAGTATTATTGGCTTAGCTATGGAACAACAAATACAATTAGATAATATTAATTCAACTCACCCTACGGTTGCGTAATTGATTAAGTCCTAAACGGTCGGTGAGTTCAGCTGCTGTCATGGCATTCGGTAAATCCTGCTTGTTAGCAAATACTAATAGAACCGCTTCACGGAGTTCATCCTCGTGCAGCTATTAAGATAATGGGGGAACATTAACAAATGGATATTGCTCAGTGCTTTAGAATACCCAAGAACAAAATACCTATGCAAAGAACCACAACAAATTTCATGTACAAATAATTATCACCTTGCCCAGTTTCCCCATTTCTATACTTTATGACCCATACGGGTTTGTCATATTTTGTGAATAATACTGTACAGTGGAACCCCGGATTTCGTCCAGTGTGGATATTGTACAATTCAGATTTCAACCGCTTTTTTGGGCGAAATTTTATCCCGGGTTTCATACCTCTGTTCCTAAATCGTCTGTATCAGACACATCTGCCTGCCCGGGACACGGCTGCTCACATGTATGTGACTTAGTCTGCCTCTGTCACTTGTTCAGTGAGCAATACTCCAAGCGTTCACCTGAAACATTTTGTAATAATTCACTGCTTTTTGTGCTTGTTTATTGAGTGCAACTGCAAAATGAGCCACCATGGGGCCAAAGAAAGTTACTAGCGCCAGCCCTTTGATAAAGAAGGCGAGAAACAACAGAATTCATTTGTGGTAGTGATGGTGGTAGAAATAACCCCTCCTCCCTCTCCCCTTCTCGCCGTCTTCCGTACGCCAACAAGAGTCTTCAATAAAGGTAAAAGTGATTTAACCCTTTCAGGGCCGGTGTCATACTAGTATGGCTTGCACGTTAGGGTTGGTGCCGTACTAGTACGCATAAATTCTAGTGCCTTCAAATCTAGCGAAAGAAAGCTGGTAGGCCTACATATGAAAGAATGGGTCTGCGTGGTCAGTGTCCACAGGATAAAAAAAATCCTACAGCACAGTGCATGAGGAAAAAAAAAAAACTGTTTTAAACAGCGACTTTGCAGTGTATTTTCGTATGGTATTTATAGTTGCATTCTTGTTTTCTTGAGGTCATTTTATAGAAGGAAAGATATATTACAGAAATTGAGATGATTTTGAATGGTTTCACAAAAGAAAAGTACCTTGAAATTGAGCGAGAGTCTAACACAGTGGACCCTCGATAATCATAAGGCTCGAAAGTCGTAATTTTAAAAAATTGTAACATTATTTTCGTCAAAACATTGACTCGTGAATTGTCGTTCGTCCTGGACGTGTACTCACGACTCCGAGCCGCCTCGCACTCCCTTCCCAGCCAGTGGCATTGTTTACCAGTGAGTGACAGTCCCCTCACTCATTCTTACGAAATATTTCATATTCCATTCATTTAGTGCTTGCAACTGCTAAATAAGCTACCATGGCTCCAAAGAAAGCTCCTAGTGCCAGGCCTTTGGTAAAGAAGGCAAGAAATACGATTGAATTCAAGAAAAACATCACTGAACAATATGAAAGTGGCGTACGTGTGGCCGAACTGGCCAGGATGTATAAGAAACCCCATACAACCATAGCTTCCATCGTAGCCAAGAAAAAGGAAATCAAGGAAGCTGTTGTTGCAAAGGGGGTAAATATGCTGACAAAAATGAGATCACCAGTACTCGAAGATGTTGAGAAGTTATTACTGGTGTGGATAAACAAGAAACAATTAGCAGGAGATAGTCTTATGCAGTTGCTTATTTGTGAAAAGTCTAGGCAGTTGCATGACGATCTCAAAGAAATTGCCTGCAACGAGTACTGATATTTGTGAATTTAAGGCCAGCAAAGGCTGGTTCGAGAGATTTAACCCTTTGACTGTTTTCGACGTATAAATACGTCTTACGAGCCAATGTTTCTGACGTATATATACTCAATAATTCTAGCAGCTTCAAATCAAGTGGGAGAAAGCTGGTAGGCCCACATGTGAGAGAATGGGTCTGTGTGGTCAGTGTGCACCACATAAAAAAAATCCTGCAGCACACATTGCGAAATGAGAAAAAAAAACTGATCGTTTTTTTGGAATAAAACGCCGACTTTGAGGTGTATTTTCGTATAGTATTTATCGTTGTATTCGCGTTTTCAGGGTCTTAGGTGATAAAATGGAAAACATATTACAGAAATAGAGATGATTTTAATTACTTTTACGATGAAAACGACCTTGAAACTGAGCTCAAAGTAGCGGAAATGTTCGATTTTTACCAATGTTCAAGAGTAAATAAATCACACCACACGTCCAATACACGTCAACTGGGGAGTCCTAATATTCCTTTCACTAGTGCACTGATATTATTTATACCATTTTTACAATAATGCAGTCGTCTGCATAACAGTAAATTTTGTATTTTTTTGTATGAAATAAAAAATCAAAATAGAAAGCAATAATAATATAAGAGGGGCCTAGAGATGTGACTAATGAACAGAGTATATGTTATTTTAGTGCCACGAATGTCTACCTTGTTTATTCTGGACCCTATTTTGAAATTGGCATCTTTTTTATTTTGCGTGAAATTGGCCAAATTGCCAATTTCTGACCACCATATTGGGTAGTCCAAATTAGTAAATGGGAGGTTTCTTGTACTCAGCTGATAGATAAAATGGAGTTCTAAAGAAATAGCTATGAGTTTGGTCAATTGGAACAACGGAATTGGCTGAAAATTGGGCTCAAAGTCGGCGAAATCGCCGATACGCATATGTCGCCGAGACCGCTAACTTCGCGGGAGCATAATTCCACGAGTTTTCGACCAAATTTCGAACTTTTGGTGTCATTACCATCGGGAAAAGATTCTCTATCATTTCATAAGAAAAAATAATTTTTTTTTTTTCAAAAACTGAGCGACATAGAATGACAGTTTCAGAGAGGGGCCTGAAACAGTCAAAGGGTTAAGAACCATAGTGGCATACACAGTGTGATAAGGCATGGCGAGGCTGCCACTTCGGACAAAATTGCAGCTACAAAATTCCTAAGTGAATTCAAGGAGTACATACAGACTGAACAATTAAAACCACAAGTGTTCAACTGTGAAGAAACAGGCCTCTTCTGGAAGAAAATGCCAAAGAGGACCTACATTACTCAGGAGGAAAAGGGACTGCCAGGACACAAGTCTATGAAAGACAGGCTGATGCTCATGTTTTGTAGTAATGCTAGTGGGGATTTTAAAGTGAAGCCGTTACTAGTGTACCATTCTGAAAATCCCAAAGCATTCAAGAAAAACAATGTTATGAAGAGTAAATTGTGTGTTTTGGAAAGCTAATAATAAGGCATGGGTCACGAAGGAAATTTTCGTTGAGTGGTTCAATGAAGTGTTTGGCCCCAGTATGAAGAATTACCTCCTGGAAAAGAAATTGGATCTCAAGTGCCTCCTGCTAATGGATAACGCATCTGCTCATCCTCCAAACTTGGATGACCTAATTCTGGAGGAGTATGGGTTCATCACAGTATAGTTCTTGCCCCCTAATACCACTCCTCTCCTCCAGCCCATGGACCAGCAGATCATTTCAAACTTTAAAAAACTCTACACCAAAGCAATGTTTCAAAGGTGCTTTAATGTGAACTCAGACACTCGCTTGACCCTAAGAGTTTTGGAAAGATCACTTCAGTATCCTCCACTGCATAAGCCTTACAGGTAAGGCTTGGGAGGGAGTGACTACCAGGACTCTGAACTCTGCTTGGAGAAAACTGTGGCCAGATTGTGTCCACAAGAGGGATTTTGAAGAGTTTGGGGCTGACCCTGACGAGCCTATGGCAGTTGTAGAATCTATTGTGGCATTGGGGAGTTCCATGGGGTTGGATGTGAGTTTGGAGGATGTGGAAGAGTTGGTGGAGGACCACAACGAAGAACTAACCACTGAGGAGCTGCAAAAGCTTCAGCCGGAACAATAACAGACTGCAGCTCAGAATATTGCTGCAGAGGAGGAAGAGAGATGGAAGAAGTTGCCTTCTTCAGAAATTAAGGAGATTTTTGGAATGTGGGGTAGGATAGAGATTTATGGAGAAACATCACCCTGACAAGGCTGTTGCAAGCCATATCAGCAACTTGTACAGTGACAAAGTTGGCCCATTTTAGGAAAGTTTTAAAGAGACGCCAGAAACAGCTCTCTGGACACTTTGCGAGACAGGGCTGGTCCTAGTGGCATAAAGAAACAGAAGAGAAGTAACCCCAGAAAAGGACTTGGTATCTGAGGTGTTGATGGAAGGGGATTCCCCTTCCAAATAGTAAATAATCCAATCTCCCCCCTCCTCCAGTCTCCCATACACTAAGAAGAATCGCCAATAAAAGTAAGTGTTATGCTGTTAATGTTTCATTCATCATGTCCCATTGTATTGAGTATGTACTACATCTATATTTCATGTAAAAAAATTTTTTTGTTTTAATACTTCTGGGTGTCTGGAATGGATTAATTGTATGTACATTATTTCTTATGGGAAAATGGTCTCAAAAATTGTCAATTTTGAAAACAGTCACACTTCCTGGAATGGATTAATTACGAAAAACGAGAGTCCACTGTATTCTTTCACAAGTGCGCTGATATTATTTATACAAATTTTACACTAATGCAGTAGTCTGCATAACAGTAAATCTTCTAGTTTGTGTGAGAATAAAAGTTAAAAGTGGAAAGCAAAAGAAATGTAAGAGGGGCCCGGGGATATGACTAATGAACAGAGAAAATGTTATTTTAGTGCCAGGAATGTCTGTCTTGTTTATTCTGGACCCTATTCTGAAATTGGCATCTTTTGAAATTTGTGTGAAATTGGCAAAATTGCCAATTTCTGACCACTTTATTGGATAGTTGAAATAGGTAACTGGTCAGTTTCTTGTACTCATTCAATAGAACAAATGGAGTTCTAACAAAATTGCTATGATTTCTGTCGACTGGTGCACTGGAATTGGCCGAAAATAGGGCTCAAAGTGGGTGACATCACCGATACATAAACATCATCGATACTAACTTCACGAGAGCATAATTCTAAGTTTTCCATCAAATTTCATACTTTTGGTGTCATTATGATTGGGAAAAGATTCTCTATCATTTCTATTTTTTTTTTTTTTTTCAAAAAATTTTCGACCCTGAGAACAAATTTAGGAGAGGGCCTCTTGACCCTGAAAGGGTTAAATGTTCATTTATCCATTTCATTAGTGC